TAATTCCGCCAACATATTCTGCGTCAAACTCGGCTTGATTATTTTCAATAGAGCTAGCTAATAAACGTAAAAACAGATTGTTGTAAGAGTACCACTTACTCAACCTATCTAACCGCGCCGATATATTAAATAAATCCCAAACTGCTCTAAACAAGACCATAAACCTAGAACTGAAATTTTACAACCAGTAGCTGACTATCTATTAGTTTTAAAAATATTTCTAGTTAATTAGTACAAGCTTATGCAAGTCGAAGGACCATTAAACCGATCGTTAAAGCTTAATCTCCAACAGTCACCTATTTGTGTCTTTTAACGATAGATTAATGTGCGGGTTAATTCTCGTAGATGTTGTCGAATTCCTTCTCGAAATAACGTTGCAGATGACACTTTTTGAAAAATAATCACTGGGTATTAAACACGCGCACCCACAGTTGGGCGAACATCGATCATATTGAACATTTTTTTTTCTGAATTTTCCTAGGCCATATTGATGGTTGCATATGAAAAGGAAAGCGACACTATTTGGTCAATGAGACCCGAGCATGGAAAGTGCTTTTAAATTTAGTTAAATGTTTTTAGAAAAATTCCCGTTTAAGCCTTAAATTAGGTGTGATTTATTTTTACTAGAGCAATCCTGTTTACAACTTTAACTGAAAAGAAGCAATTGATTCCAAATTATCAAAAAACCTTAATTTTTTTGGGGCTGTATCATGAAAATTTTGGAAAAATTTTGTAGGAGCATTGATTGATTTATTGTTAATTGTTCTCAGTATTTTCATCTTTTTTCATGAACGCCCTTCAACAATATCAGTCTCATGGAAAATTAGGGCTCTCATCCGGGGAAGCTTCTGAATCTGTATCTTTACCTGTCTCTAGCTCTAAATTTACTGGTGATATTTATGTACACGTATGTTTTTATCACTTAACAMAATTTCCGTTCTATTTCCGGAAAGTCGGGTTTTGCAAAATTTTTGCGGACATTTTACCGTTGCAATTGAAATATCGAACGAAATTATCTAATCCTGGTAATAAAAATCCCGGTTACCCATCACTAATCAAACTAATATATTGTTTATCCACAGGCGCAATATTTTGCATTAAACTTGAAAAATAATAAAATTGGATCTACATACATATTTCGATACGTAAAATTGCAGCAAAAAAATCTGAAAATAATATAATTTGAAATTGAACAACGACATGAATTTTAGTCGCAATTTTCGAATTAATGTAAAAGAGCAAGCTTTAACATGAATAAAATCGCGACCGAAACCTTTAAAACGTCATTTATAGAACAGCACCAAGCGAAACATCCAACGAATAATCGATAAGCGAGACCAAAAACCAAAGAAAAAGTTCCATTTGTTTGCTCTTCCAGATAAAAAAAAATGAGCAGCTTAGGGACCCAGTTTCCCAAGCTGCAAAATAATTTAAATAAATAAATAACGGACCGTACGATATTTAAGCACGTAATAAATAAATACAAAAAAAAATAAACCAAAAAAGCAATAGAACCGAATAATATCGAAGATAAGTTCTTTCTTCATACTAACTTTAACAAAAAGCTAATAATGGATGCCTGATAAATATTTAGATTTAAAAGTCCTCAAAGAAAATAATAAACGATGGATTAAGTGGGTAAAAAACGGAAAAACGAGGCAGAAATCGAAAAACGGCAAAAAATCGTAACATAATAATCGATAAACAAAGACCTCAAAAACAAAAAAGTTTCAGTTGTTTCCGTCCCATGATTAGGCTTCTAGATATACACATAGATAGAGTGGCTCAATATTAAGGCAACGGTAAAAGACAAAGAAGCAAAAACAGATCATACAGAAAAATAGCAGAACCCGACAATATTGAAGATAATCCGTTTATTTTATAATCCGATAATTAAGATCCGTTTCATACGAACAAAGATTAGCCGTTTTATACATGTTTTGAATATAGTTTACAGTGCAGAATTAATATTGAAATTTAGTAAAACAAACAGGAGTAAAAAATTCCAGAAATTCAGCTCGATATCTGTTCTTTCGGATAAAAGAAGACACAATCTTCTTCTTCTT